AGCCCAATGGAACAGAATCAAGAACCCAGAAATAAATCCATGCATTTACAGCCAACTGATTTTCCATATAGTGGCCAAGAACAAACACGGAGAAAAAGGACAGTCTCTTCAATAAATAAATGGTGCTGGGAAAACTGAGTATCTATATACAGAAGAATGAACCTAGACCCTTATCCCTCAATAAATCAACTCAAGATAGATTAAAGACTTCAATGTAAGAACTGACATTGGTCTAGGCAAAGAATTTGGGACTCAGACCTCAAAAGCATAGGCAATATGCTTTGAATATAAATCTTTCTACCATAAAGACACATGCCTGTGCATGTTCATTGCAGCACTATACACAATAGCAAAGACATGGAATCAGCCTAGACGCCTATCAACAGTGGACTAAAGAAAGAAAATGTGAGACATATACACCCTGGGATACTACAAAGCTGAAAGAAAGGATAAAATCATGTCGTTTGCAGCAACGTGGATGGAGCTGGAGGGCATTATCCTAAGCAAATTAATGCAGGAACAGAAAACCAAACACCGAATGTTCTCAATTATAGGTGGGAGCTAAGCACCGAGTATACACAGACACAAAGAAGGGAACAATAAATACCAAGGCCTACTTGAAGGTGGAGGGTGGGAGGAGGGTAAGAATAAAAGAAAACTAACTCGTAAGTACTATGTTCATTACGTGGGTGACAAAATAATCAATCAGATATATTGCCTTGCCTTTACCAAGCTTGGAGAAGCAACATGATGCCTTTCACCTTTCAGAAATATAAAAAATTCAAACTAAATATCATTTAACTTTTATTGCTACAACCCACAGTACTGTAAAATACAGTCATCCACTGCACAACAATACTTAAGTCAATAACAGATCATATATTTATGATGGTTGTCCCATAAGATTATAATACCATATTTTTACTGTACCTTTTCTGTCCATTTGCACTTTTCTGTGTTTAGATACACAAATACTTACCACTGTATTACAACCACCTGAAGTATTCAGCACAGTAACATGCTGTACAGGTTTGCAGCCTGGGAGCAATAAGAGCCTATACCATATACCTGAGGTGTGTAGTAGACCATACCATCAAGGTTTGTGTAAGCATACCCAATGATGTTTGCATAACAAGAAAATCACCTAAGATGCATTTCTCAGAATATGTCCTTGTTGTTAAGTAATACATGATTGTATTACATATCACATTTGAAACAAGCATGTGGCAGGTAAGAAAGAATGAAAATTAAAAGTATTAAAAACAAGTTTAGGCCAGGCATGGTGGCTCACATCTGTAATCCCAGCACTTTGAGGGGCCAAAGCAGGTGAATCGCTAGAGCTCAGGAGTTCAAGACCAACCTGGGCAACACGGTTAAACCTTGTCCCTACAAAAAACACAAAAATTAGCCAGGTATGGCAGCATGTCCCTGTAGTCCCAGCTACTCAGGAGGCTGAGGTGAGAGGACTGCTTAAGCCTGAGGCAGAGGTTGCAGTGAGCTGAGATCATACCATTGCACTCCAGCCTGAGCAACAGCGCCAGACCTTGTCTCAAAAACAAACGAACAAACAAAACCACAAGTACAGGGTTTCTGAATTTGGAGTGTCTACTAACCACCTATAATTATATGCTACATTTTGTATACGTGCATTTTTTTCCCACACTGGAGGAATAAAGATTTAATAACATTTACCAGCAAGTCAGTTGGCCCAAAGAGAAGTTAATAGTCAAGGCAATTGTTTCAATTATAGAAAAATATACGGTATTCTTGACATTTACTCACCAGAAATATCCATGAATGCACGATCCCATAATTCACCTACTGTATAACACTCTGCAGAAGTGATGTTGACTGAAAGAACAATATCATCTTCAACATATTTTAGTATGAGATTATTTATCACAATGTTTACATTATTCACAACTCGTCTAATCAGACTCTGCACATAACCTATAAAATAGGAAAAAAGAATTTAGCCACAAATTACTCAGTAAACAATTATTTCTTAAAATGTTATTGAACTTAATGTATGAGAAAGGTGGATATGATTTAGCATATTTCCCAAAGAGAAACCAAAGTTCAGATGGGTTAAAAGACTTGCCAAAGTGACACTGGTAATAAGTAGCAGATCCAGCCCGACAAATGTCATTATCAAGACGTTCTATAGTGAAATATTCACATACTAAGAGAAACAACAAAGATCATATATATTTTTATAACATAATACTAGATCCCATATAATGATTATCCTATACTACAAGTACTTTGTTTGATTTCTGCTTCTTATGTTATATAAACATTTTCCAAAATAAAGCAATGTTACTATATGCTGATTATACAGTATATTTGAAGATAAGCTTCTTTAAGCTTCTTTTTAAACCAGATATCATCATCTCTTCCTAGTTTAGCTATAAAGACATTTAACAGTTATGCCTGGGATAGGAGAAACATGACTACCCTAATGGATTCAATTCTGTTCACTTATTAAAATTCAATATTGAGAGTAGAGGAGAAAATAAGAATAAACAAGAAAATGTAGACAGGATGAGTTAAAAAAGTATTTTTTAAAGACTACCATGAAGAAGACAGAAAACAGAAAAAACAAAAGTATGGAAGGAAGGAGAATATATAAAAGTAGAAGAACACAGGGAATAAGAAAAAGAAATAGAAATACTGGTTAATTCAAAACACTAAAAGTAATTAATGAGCATTCTATTTCTCCATGGCTTGCTTAGAATCTCCAAAATTTTTCTCTTAATTTCATGCTACTGTGGAATACTCCATAATTTCACTTATGTTTCTCACATAAGTGTGTAAATGGATACATTATTGAAGAATTTAGTTGAAAATATAAATAACAGTTTATTAAAAGCATTTTAAAAGCCAGGGGAAAAAATGTTTTTAATCTTTTCTACTGTAAAAAGCTGATAAAAAGGTAATGCATTTCCACTATTAAAAGAAACTATTTAAAAGGTAATTAAAATTTTAGCTATTTGATGAAATAACCATATGGTTTTGTTCTTTAACCCAGAATTTTACTGGACAAAACAGAATCAACTTCTGTTAGCAACTGACATTGTTAACACCTACACTAAAGGCTGATGGGAAAAAGCTTATTTAAATCTATTCAACCATAACATGTTTGCAAAACCCAACTCCTTCATTCATTGTCAATGATGCAAATAGGAAAGAAATGTAATACAACTTAGGTTGTAATTTTCTGGCTGGGCATGGTGGCTCACGCCTGTAATCCCTGCACTTTGGGAGGCCAAAGCAAGCAGATCACTTGAGCTCAGGGATTCAAGACCAGCCTGGGCAATGTGATAAAACCTCGTCTCGGCAAAAATACAAAAATTAGGTGAGTGTTGTAACATGTACGTGCCTGTGGTCCCAGCTACTCAGGAGGCTGAGGCAGGAGAATCATGTGAGCAGCAGAGGTGGAGGCTGCAGTGAGCCGAAGTTGGGCCATTGCACTCCAGCCTGGGTGACAGGAATGAAACCCTGTCTCAAAAAAAAAGAAAAGAAAAAAAAATACTTTCTTTCCATTTTGTATTATAAAACTGACATACAAATTGAGATGAATAAGCCAAATCACCAAAGTAAAAGAATCAAGTATCAAAAGAACTACTTCTGTAGAAGACTATTTCTGTTTCCTTATTAAAAACGCAATGCTAAAATAAGTAACAGGAACTTATCAGTGGAATAAATGACACACTATTTCTATAATCCTTCATAGTAACTTGGTTCTAAGCAAGCTACAAGATAGTGTCAAGTAGATCTAATAGCTCTCATCACTCCATACTTAGAGACAACCTGGGAGTATATTTGTTCAAATAACATAATAATCATCCGGGTCTATTCCACAAGCATCTGAAAATGGAAAGTCACACTGAGGATGAGAACCTATAAGATGTAATATTAGATGGCTCTAAAACAGCCTGTTACTAGTCAATCTTTCTCCAGAAATTCTTATTATCTACTTTTCCCCATAGCTCATATACCCCCTTCTTCTAAACATATATCTATATCCACAGGACCAGATGAAAACACTAAATTTTCACTAACTTTACTCATGTTCTTCCTCCTTTTTAGAATACTTTTTGTCCATTTGCACTTCTTGTTCAGGTGCAGTATAATTTTCCTCTGCTTTATACTGTCTTCTCCAATGTCTCCCATCCTATACATCGGCATTAAAGAGAATGTCTCTACCACTTTTCATGGGCTTATGTTACTATTTGTCACTTGTTTATGCATATGTATACTTATCTTCTCTGATAAACTTTAAAATCCTAGATTAAAAGATTATATCTTATTTATTTCTCTGATAGTTTTAAATTAAATGGCAGGTATCAAAAAATGTTGGTTACAAAGAGATACCATCTGCAACTGATTCATCTCGATGTAGTCACTGGGAAGCCAAGTTGCTCATAGTCAGAAATTCCATGGTTGATGACTTAGTTGCATCTTAGTCAAGTTTTTGGTGTAAAATTTATTTGAGCATTATGTGGCATCAGATAGGAAATTTATGCTCAAATGGTTAAAGGGAAAATAAGCTTTTATAATGTTCTTGTCTTTTATAGAACACTGAAATTGTTTCAAAATAAAAACTTAGTTAAAAGGCCAAGAATAAAAAATCTTTATTGTCAATGTTATAGACAGGACCAATAAAATATGAATTAAAAACATTTATCAGATTTAATAACTAGATAATAATTTGGGGCAGTTACTATAGGAGCTAAAAAATAGATGTCAGCTGGTGAAACCATTTTATTTAAGATGTCACAGAAGTTCTAGACAATGAAATAAAGGGGAAAAAAGAGAATTTAGTGTAAGTATTGTAAAAGAGGGAAAAAATTATTTCACAAAGATGACAGTACTTTTTATATAGAAACTCCAAAAGAAGCAGCTAAAAATTACCGAATACTGGTCACCTAACAAAATATAAAAATTAGCTTTTCTACACAAAAAAGTAATAAAAGGCCAGGGGCAGTGGCAAACTTCTCAAAAATCATCTCTGGATTTACATAAATGCCCAAACTCCAAAGCTGTAAGCACAGATACCAGAAGAAATAACTTGCCCCAGAAAATTTCAAAAGCAGGAATGTATCCCTACCATGAAAGAACTGTAATTAGTATAATTCCCAAGAAGGATAAGGTTGCCCGAAAAGAGTCCTCAAATAACCATATGAGTTAAACTTGAAATGATAACTTGATTTATTATTATCCAACTGGATTCTCAAATTATCCCTTTTTGTACTTTTGGCAAAATTAAGTTTAGCTGCTCTGCCAATCAGTAATTGGCCAACAGTTTCAGTTACTTCTTAACCATGATTTACGTCAGCATAATAGAGACTATGAGTTCTCCTCTCAGGTAAAGGTAGAAAAGCACATGCTAATCTAAAAACTACCTCAAGTAGTTCAGATAGAGCACAATTCTGTCATATGCTACTAAAAATAGGATGTTTTAGGCTGGGCGTGGTGGCTCATGCCTGCAATCCCAGCACTTTGGGAGGCAAAGGTGGGGTGGATCACTTGAGGTCAGGAGTTCTAAATCAGCCTGGCCAACATGATGAAACCTTGTTTCTATAAAAAATACAAAAATTAGCCAGGCGTGGTGGTGCAGCTACTTGGGAGGCTAAGGCAGAAGAATTGCTTGAACCTGAGAGGCAGAGGTTGCAGTAAGCTTAGACTGCACCACTGCACTCCAGCCTGGGCCACAGAGTGAGACTGGGTCTCAAAAAAAAAAAAAGATGTTTTATGTTATGTTGATGATTTCATGTTTTGTGCCACAAAAAATAGGCCAATTCCCCCAATTCTGAATAACGGTCTAAATTCTAATACAGACAATAAAGAATCATTAAAAGTCTGGGACTTATTTTGAGTACATGCAGGTTAGCCCATAGAAAGTTTCTATGAAATCAACAACTGACAGTAGCTTTAATTTTTTCGTGTTTCCTTAGGAAAAATAAAATATAGAACAAAACAACAATTAAACCTACAATTGATTATTCTTTGCCAGGACATTGAGAAACAGATCCCAATGCTTCTATACACAAGCTACTACTATAGGAACTCTTGAGACAATATGTAGTCATAAATTTGGAGAGATAAAAGGATTGTCCATTTAAAAAGAATAGCTACAGTTTAATTTCTCAGGATTTTTCCCAAGGCCTTAATTATTAAGAAAATGTTTTTTAAATTCTGGAACCATCATACAACTCTAAATGCAAATAGAAGCATTTAGAAGTAAAATATCTTCTTCTGACACTTTTCAAGTTTATGATGATCTATCCAGAAGCCAGATGAATAACAAAGACCGGTTTAACAGAGTTCTGAAGAACACAAAGCATCAGTACTAATGTCATTACAGCACTAGTTAGCAGTGTTCAATTCAAATGTAACTTAGGACATATATTTGAGGGAGGTGGGTATATAAAATGGTATACCTAATTCCAGCTTCTTACAAGTAAGTGGTGCAAAAGGCTGCCAAAATGTAATGAGAGTAGCAGAAAGCTTATAACCGTTTGGCACAGAAAACAACTATATACCAATGACTAACATATCTCACAAAAATAGGAGTCATTAATAAATAAAATCAAAACAGAAGTGACTGATAAAGAACTCATAACTATAAAAAGGCGGCAATGCACCTTGGCCACAGAGCTGACATGTAATGACACATGTCACATGACAGTTTTTTCTTTAATTAAATATTTACCAAGAAACTGTTTTATGCAAGCCACTACTGTCCCACCTAAATAAAAACTCCAGGAAATAAAAATTATGTGATTCCATTAGTGAATTTTAGAGCTTCCAGAAACTCAGAATAATCTAGTGTCTTTTCTCTGTTTATCAAGACACAAGGGGAACAAAGAGACTGTTAGTCTTTGCTTACACTATAAGAAAGAAACTCAAAGAACAACATATTGCAAAAGAGGATCAAAATTTAAATGAAAGCCATTTGTGAAGCCTCTGGATCCAATCTGTTCTGAATTCATGCAGCAAGTACATATGCACATATAGCTTAAAAGTTTTATGACACTAAAAATATATATTCTACAAAGGACTAAAACAATTTTTTTTTTTTGAGACAGAGTCCTGCTCTGTCGCCCAGGCTAGAATGCAGTGTCACGATCTCAGTTCACTGAAGTCCTCACCTCCCAGGTTCAAGTGATTCTCCTGCCTCAGCCTCCTGAGTAGCTGGGATTACAGGCACAAACCACCACACCTGGTTAATGTTTGTATTTTTAGTAGAAACAGGGTTTCACCATGTTGGTTAGGTTGGTCTTGAACTCCTGACCTCAAGTGATCAACCCACCTCAGCCTCCCAAAGTGCCAGGATTATAGGCATGAGCCACCACACTAACCAATATTTGAAATTTGGTTTTATCTATCCTGTTAGAAGTTACCTGGTGGTAAATCAGGATCTGTAGGAGCAGCGTGCTGAATTCTCCGGGGCTTGATTGATGATTTTGTGTTCTCCGTAGTACTACGATTGGTAGAGTTAGAACCACAGCTTTCATGGTCATCCTATTTTTATTTTAAAGAAAGAAAAATAAAACCATCAATCATGTTTAAGAATTAGGGAAAAATTTGTTGAATATATGCAGTTTATGGTAGCTAAAGGAGACAAGATCAACATAATTTTATTTTTTTAGCTCTAAAAGCTATATAACCAATTTTCATAATTTGCATTCTCAAACAGTATTTAAAAAATAACTAGTAGCTTAAAACTATAAATTCTTTTTTCTTTCACTGATATCAAAACAAACTACTTGAAAATGCCCAAAGAATTCTTATTTATGGCTCTAGCAAAAGAAAAAATTAGTTAATGAAAGCTTTTAAACAACATACGTCTCTAAGTGCAAAGTAAATTAAAAGGTTCTTAATTTTTCCCCTATTTGTTGTTTATAGGTTAAAATACTATTTTGAAACCAAGCTATCTTGGTCATCTTTAACGATTAGTCTTAATCATCCTTATAATCCTCTCCATCTTACTAAACAACGTATACTAAATTATTATTCATGTTAGGTATAAGTTTTAACTAGGTTTCAATATGAATAACAGAAACAAATAAATTATACATATTTTTGAAATTTATCCCTTTAAACTGCAAATGAGTACTTTTTTCCTGTCCTGTTTCAACATTTATATAATGCTCGTACATGCCAATTTCTGGATTTACAAGGATAAATTAGATAAATGTATCTTTTATCCTATCCTCAAGGACTTCAGAATCTATCAAATACATATATAACTCTACAAGAGCAATACTTTTTTTGTTTGTTTTTAAGTAATAAGGAGTATAAAAAGTGTCATTCCATTTTGAAGAACTAGAAAGATCAGGCCATTCAAATCAAATGTAGAAATGTTTTCAGTTAGGACTGGGGGCTAAATGGGGGTGGTGGTGAGAACCATAAGCAAGAGCAAAACAGTATCAACGTATGTAGCATGTACAGAGAATGATGATTAGTCAAATAAGGCCAGAGTATACAGTATCTAAGATGGAAGAAGTTAAAAGCACAGACCTTTCAATAAAAATGGAGTAATGTTAACAACTATGGAGATATTCTCAGTCCTCATTCTAGTTGACCTGTTTCAGGATTTGGTAATTAGGAAGAGGCTGCCAGTAACCTACAAGAAAGAAGACTTGGCAGTTCCCACAGAGAGAGAGAGAAGTGGGAGCAGTAAATGAGCAGCTCAGAGTGAATGAGAAATTACAGTGGAGTCAAAAAGAATAAACTGCTCTTTAAAGAAGACAGGCATTACCAAGAGAAGATAGATGGAGTAAAACAAGAGGGAAAACCATCTGGTAACTAACTTCTTATTCCTTTTTAAGGATAAAAGAATACATTTTTGCTTGAAGTAAAGATGCATATGTGGAGTGAGAGATCAAAGATACTAACACAAAGGGTAGCTGATAATGCGCTGTGCACCATGAATTCATTAATCAATAACACTACTTTATAATATTTACAAGAATGGTGTTAAATTTAGTTTTTCTACTTTATATATTTGAAGGAAAATTTTCAAGAGCATATAAAAGAATAATCATCACTAATACAGCAAACTAACAGGTTATTAGAGGCAAATAAGAACCATAATAAGACCTCTTTCAGAAAATTTTTATTCAATATCACATTAAGAGAAATATACAATAAAAGGTAAGTGTTTTACAAAATAGCATGGCTTCAGATGGTAGTGATACATCAGAAAAAAATTGTTTGAAACTTCATACAAGCAAAAAGACTTGCAACCATAAACAACACTGAAAATTTTCTCATGAGCTTATGTTCATTTTAAGTTAATGAAAAACAAACATCACAGGTTTCATTCCACAAAATAACTTCACTATTCAATCTTCATAAAGACATCTTCTGTTATTGTGGGGGATGTTATGGTCTTAAATACTAAAAGACTACTACTGTGAATAAAACTTTACTGTACTTTTAGTTCAACTTAAATCCTTAAAAACGTCCATAGTCATACACTTCTGCACAACATTAACATTAAAAGCACATTATTAATTTTTGAAACATGTGGTTGTCTCAAAAGCCCAGAAGTAAAACATGTTCATTAAAGAGATGTGAAAAAGTTCCAAGTGAACTGCCAAAACTAGCATAATTATGAAAATATTTAACACTGAAACCATCTGAAATCACATACTGTATATAGATTATGGTGATGTCATAATAAACATTCCAGCCAAAATGCACTAAAACTACTGCAGTCCAATAAATCTGGCATATGTGAGATGACAAACATTTTAAAGCAAAAGAAAGAACAAGTAATTTTTACTCTATTTTTAAAAAATTATTAACAGCAAAATGGGATTAAATAAAACAATGAGTTTCAAATTTTTATTAAGAAAAGTAGATAAAACTTCCCTAAAAACTATGTTTTTATTATTCAAAAGAAAATCAAACTAAATTCCTTAATTTGCCTAAACAAAATCTATTTAAAAACCTGGAATTTTAGTGTGCTTAAAAAATGAGCATTAACCATGATACTCATAAGAATATATACTATAAACCAAACATTACCAAACATGTAAACACTTTTTTCTTAATTAGGGTTGGGAAACTTTGATTATACAAATACTATAATTAGAAATTAATCATTTCAATGATTTGAACTTGTTTTCATTTCAATTATATTTTAGTTGTATCAAATAAAAGTGAGTCTCCATTCAAATCATGTCTCAATCAAATTAAATAAAAATATTTATAATTAAGACTTAAATTACTTCCATAAGTTTTGAATTCATTATCTGCTTTTAACCAGTAGGCATCACTGTGGACTATTACACAGTTTTCGTTCATTAAAAACCCTTAATTACTAATAAAAGAAACTCTGTTCTCAAAAATACTAGCTAAAATATTTTGAGATAATTTTTAACACCAAACACATTACAGTTATATCTTATTTAGGTTGCAATTTTTCCAAAGTGTCTGGTAAGTATATTTCATGGCCAAAGAATGTTTTCTCTTGGGAACCACATAACTATTTCTGAAAATATTGCGATTTGCTCCTCATGAAACAAGCAAGAATGTCATTGCCTTACAAAAGTTCCTAACAGAGGGAAAATGTGTGGCAAAGACTGTATGTAAATAGAGCCATTACTTTCATACTGACAGATCATGAGTTCATGCTGTACACTTTTTTCCCTGTTGCTTATTATAGGGCTAGTCAGCTAAAATTAGAAAACCATCAACTCCCAGATTCACAATAGTGTTAATAAAACTGAAGGCGAGACATGGTGGCTCACACCTGTAATCCCTTCACTTTTGGGAGGCCGAGGCAGGCGGATCATTTCAGGTCAGGAGTTCAAGACCAGCCTGACAAACTTGGTGAAACCCCATCTCTACTAAAAAATACAAAAAATTAGCCAGGCATGGTGGTGGGTGCCTGTAATCCCAGCGACTTGGGAGGCTGAGGCACGAGAATCACTTGAACCCAGAAGGCAGAAGTTGCAGTGTGCCAAGATTGTGCCACTGCACTCCAGCCTGCACAAAAGAGAGAGACTCNAAAAAAAAAAAAAGAAAAGAAAAAGAAAAGAAAAAATGGAAAACAAGTGATTAAATTACAGAGCAAGAGGTTAAGATGCAGGAAAGAGCTGAAGAAGGGGAAACTGAACAGTGAAACTAAGAGGTGATGTACTTTATGCTCTTTAACCCTGTGACACCAAACTTCACAAGCAGAAAAGAACTAAGACTCACCTGTCAGCTCCAGTCACCAAAGGGGCTTAGAAATAAACTACTACAAGGCTCCTAGGAACATTCACCTCTATCCTCTCTAGCAGCAAGTACAATGACAACTGCCAGATGCAATAAAGAATCTCTGAGAGTAACACTGTACACTTCAAAGTCAGAAAGCTAAATAAGGTCATTTACTCAGAGGTACACTTGGAGAGCACAAGAGAGAGCCAGGGAAAACACATTCACTAACTTTTATGGTAAAAATAGAAATCTGACTCAACTCTACCTTAAGAGCAATATTTAAAACCTTAACTTTAGTCATAAAGAAAATATCAAGCATGCTTAAATAAAGAGGAATGTATAGCACCAGTCTCTACACACATCAACTTTAGTCCACAAGAAAGGCTGTTTCCATCTTCTCTCCTATCAAGGGTGGCAATAAGTGGTTACGATAGGTTGGTAAAAGGAAAAAGAAATGACCCTCCCTTGTATTCTTTTTACTTGATCACCTCAAAGAAAGATATAGCTAACCTGAATGACCAAAAGCTCAACATTCATTGGGTCACATTTTAAAAATAAAGGAAATCACTATACTCACTGTGAACACTTTTATGTGCTGATATCTCTCTTCTAATCTCTGAGATCCATGCTACTCAGTAAGAGGACCAGAGTCATTTTCCCAGATGACTCAACCAGTAGCCATCTGTCTTCCACCTTCTATTCACCCACATAGCCCCCTGACCCATGATATTGCCCCAGCCACAGAATGATCAAATTATTAAACTATGCCAGAACATATATAAGGGAAATTGTAAAATATGTTAGGAAAAATTTGTTCTTTATTGCTGCCTATGACATTCCTTTCCTTCATATTGGTGAGTGTGTATCAGTTTGTCACCTCATTCTTCCACTTTTTTTAAACCACAAAATTGAAACTGTGAGTCCCTCTCTAAGATTTAGAAGGTAAAACAGGCAGAAATTCAGGGAGGAAAAAAGAAAAGTAAATACAGAAGTACTCTGGCCTAAACCACATTCTACCATCTAATATTTACCAGAATTCACTAAGGGGAATTGGGTTATCCAACAGACTAATTTAACTGCACTTTGTTTTCTTGTATACAAATTCCCTCAGCCAAAAATGTCCGAGCAAAGAAAAGTATGTGTTAGGCAGCCTCAGAAAAAAAAAGTAGTAAAATAGATATCTTTATCTAAGTATTTTACCTATTTACTTGAATAACAAGACCTATGTATATACTAAAAAGTTAGTAATTTAAGAGTTAATCAATGATGACATATGTCACAAAGAAATAGCAGTTCCCCTTACTGAGCAT